TGTTGCTTATACGTCCCCCCCCCCCCCCAAAGAAGTAGTAGCTCTGATAATTTGTTTACTTAAAACACATGGTTTTGCTAATTCTCAAATGTAGCTGGCCTCTGAGAATAAAGTATAACTTTAGATACTGCTTTTCTCATGAGCCCTACACACACGCATATTTTATCATACCTCGATTACAGTAGTGATATCACTGCACAGGGCACACGCTCAAGTCCAGGGAACAGTGGTGGCCCGGTGATGCTGTCCAATCAGCTTTGCCATAGCGTTCTGTGGCCCGTGCAGTGATGGCAGAATGTTCTATGCAGGTTCTGATCGCCCTGCCTTTTGCGTGGAATTTCACCTCCGCTCAATACCTCAGAGTGGCTGGGGTCTGTGTTTTTGTCGTTTATCGGGGGACGGGTCGAGGAGGTTGGTTGAGGCTGGAGCACAGAGCCGACCGGCAGAGATGTCGGTCTCGTCCTTTGGTGATCAGTGTTTCCCGTCCTGCCATGGTGTCCTTCACCTTGAGTTTCTGCAGTTAAGTTTCCCCCGTCTAAGCTTGGACTTCAAAGAGCAGGAGCTCCACTGAGGAGGATTGTTTATCATTTAATTGCCTTCCTTCTGTCTGCTCATGTGGCACACAGGGTCAGCAGAACTTCTGCATCTATGTTGTTGTTAACCTCTTGCTCTACTGACCTCAGTCAAGTTCTTTTGCAAATGGAACCATGTGGATTCTCATCAAAGTGGGTTACAATGCAAAGATTGCTGCATCATATATCTGAATAACCATTTTTTTGTGTAATTATTGAAAATGGTTTCCCTGTGTCCATTTCAAGTGCTTTAGAACATTGCTGTACTGTGTTGGGGGGTGGGGTGGGGGGGATGTGCGTGAATAATATTTCCTTGTGGAGGTGTGGGTGCATAAGTGTGTGAGTGTAGGGGCAGACGCCCCGTTGATGAAGACATATCATCTGGAACAGGGTGCACATTCAACCAAGGCAACTAAGCTGCTCTCTGAGTAGCGCAGTGACACAAGTCTCTCCCTCTTTCCAGAGGAGTGTCCATGCTTTCCCAGTTTACAGTATTGTCACGTGTCTGTACAGTCCCATGACTGTGGTTTCCATTTGGGAACAGGAACTACATTCCCTTTGAGAGAAAAAAAAGCATTTGCTGTTTGCTTAGAATTGACAATAGATTAAAATTAGAATATCATTTGGGTTTTAAAATGTTTTAAGAGGTTAGTCAATTATTGCAGTTTTTCGGTGTGATTTTTATGTTGTAGTCTCAATGACCTAGTAATTTAAGTACTAAAACTTTTAGACTGAAGGGCTTTCATTAGCTTGAAACTAGGCAGATTTCCTTTTCAACTTTGTTTTTGCTTGTTCCATATTTGTAGCAGACCCATAAAATGACCTCTGACCTCCAGTGGCTTACTGGTCTGTATCATGAGCTTCATTGTGCACTGTGGCCTACACAACATACCGACTCTAACCAGCCTGCTCTCCTCACTCTACTGTCTCGGTATGGTGGCTTTTCTTCCCCCCCCCACTTTCTCATCTTTCCTCTCAACTTATCGTCTTTGTGTGCAAACAGGGTCGAAGGTCCAAAAAGGGAATTTGAATCGACGTTATGCTGCCTGCACAGTTACAGGGTGCAGTTTTTCATCATTGGCTGCGTAGGAGCCATTTAATTTTAATCGTGCAATGTGCAGGCCAGCCGAGGCCCTGCAGCTCTTACCCGCGCGGGGCTTACATGTGTTACAGTAGCATGTCGGTTTCTGGTCTGTAGTTGGACTGAAGTGAAATACTAGCTTGCATGAGCTGCTGGTTTTAATTGCTATTGGCCAGTAGCAATCCCATCAACCAATGCGGGGGATGAGAGGAATAAGGTCAGTGGCTTGTGTTGAACATCTTACCTGAGACGAGAAACGGACCTCATGTCCGTTTGGAAGAATACTTTCTCGGCTAAGTGCGGTTGGTACCGCCGTCGAGAAAAGGAGAGACGGGAATTTTTGCTTTTATTTTTTAACTCGCTTTATTTTCTTAGCACTAATCATTGTTATATATTTTTTGTAAATAAGAGGTTAAGTTTGGGGACATTGGGTATCTGAGAGCCTGAATTGCTACTGTAGAGCTGGTTAGAGGTAGCACCCAAAGCATATGTGTTTGTATGTTGAAAGCAGGGTGTCCTTTATCTACCCTGAATACCTCATAGACATATCTGCAAATACAAATGGTTTAAGTGTAGGAAATGCCATCACCAGCATGTATTCAGGCCCTGAGCGAACAGCAGGACCAATCACATCTCTCCTTTTCTAAACCACACCCATTAGATAAGATAAACGCCTTTCACTGTTCAGATGCTGTACACTTCATCCTATTAGTGATCATACTGATTATACTTAGTAGTTTTATTCTACCTCCATATATTACAGCTCAATGTATCTAGCAGATATACACCTGTGTGGTGACAAATCTATATATGGAAAGAAGTATATCATTTTACCATCTGCAATGAAAAGGTGTGTGTTTGTGTGTGTGTGAGAGTATATCATTTAAATATTTATAAATACATAAATATAACAATACCACTGGAATGTGAAGCCAAACTGTATTATGATTTCTCTATTATGGTTCAACAGTAGCACATACATAAAACTTACATCCATCTTGCACAATCTTTTGTCGAAACACCTGGTGTTTTCCTAACCTCCCATATTATATTATGTATTGGATAGGTACTAGACATTGGCTGTCTCCCCCCCCCCCCCCTTTCCCTTAAGAAAAATGGGTGGGGGTAATAGTATGCCCCATAACTACTTCTATTGCACCTGAAAAAGTGTAGATGTGAAGTTGAGCCATACAGTTTGATTCAAGTTTACAACTCTCATGGCATATGACATTGTGTATGTGACACTTTGGCACAAAAGCAGCAAACGTGTGTGTCTGTGGTGCAGGGAGGTGTGCACAGCCGTGCAGTAGGAGGAGAGGTCATCTAATCCAGCCTTACGTCTTCAAAATGCCAGTCCAGCCATCGCGTTCTGTTCATTACAGCCCCAACCTCCTACCATGCCTACTTTGTTGTTGAAGCTAAGAACACTGGTGTTTGGGGGTCAGCGTTACAGGTGGGAGGGGTGGCCAAGACATTATCCTCCCCCCTCCCACCACCCCCAATTTCCTGAGAGAGAAGAGTGGTTTGGGACACCCTTCCCTCCCCATCCCATGGGGGAAAAACACAAACCCTAAAGCCATTCATGACTTTATGTGACAATGCAATCTTGAAAGCACTTTTGCCTTGTTAACTCATTGTGTGAACTAGTGAACGGTTGTTTGTTACAAAAGGATGTTACATACCTGTATTTAAAAAAAAAAAAAAAGTCATGATTTAAGGGAAAAAAATCTGCATTGTTCTTTGACATTAAAAGATACAAACTTACAGGCATTCAACCTTTATCTATTTTATACTCTGTATGCTTCGGCCAATGAGTCTTGTTATTCAGTATTGTGGCTTAGAATTGGTTATGTTTAAATAAAGTGCTATTGCTTAATATCTATTGTTGTCTGGCTTTCTGTTTGTAGTCCAGCCCCCCATCTAAAATTAAGTGAACACTGCGCATTAAGGGGAGAACCCTAAATTTCAGAGCACCTTCGCTGAAAAGTCAAGTGACCCCATAGCACCGGCCAAAGAGCATCTCTGGTGCTGTTCCCTGTGTTTCTAACCCAGGCATGCATGTTGTCGCGACCGGTGCGTGTGGACGGTAATAATATTCCACCAGACCAGTGCTGTGCAGATGTATTGCAACAAACAGAAACACAAATATTGTATCGTTAAACTTTTATGGGCAGTTTTAAGTTACTAGGCTTGGGTGGTAATACAGGAGCCCATCCAGTAATAATTGTAGTTCCCTATAGCCCTAAAACTAGTTCATGTATCCTACAGCAAGACAATTTATAAAATGCACCTCTGGAAAAAAAACAGGTGCTGGAAGTCAACTGTGTGAAGTACTGGGAAAACAAGCATCGGTTTCAAAAGATACAATTAAACTCTGGTAATAAAGTACTTGTAATTACAAAAATAAAATGAGGACAACATCTCTTATGGCCTAAACTGAATGCTTTGAGAGAAAATGATTCACATATTTGTCAGATACCATCAATTCATCTAGCTGCTTGTCACGGGAGGCTGGAGCTTATCCCAGGCAGCATAAGGATTGGGGCGCCTCAAATGGGGCGCCGAACAGAGGACACGCGCACACATACTTATATACTACAGGCAAATTAGAGAATTAAGTAGCATAACTGCTTATCTTTGAACTGCAGGAGAACATGCAAACTTCAGACACAGCAGAAATGTCACTGACGTTTACTGCTAAAACTGGGTGATACACATGGGACCTTCGACTCAAAGTTCAAATTCAACGCCATTCAAACTTGGGTTTCAGCCATGAGAAGGGTGCAGCACGCCTCACTGCAAATGCATGCTTTTAGGGCTCAGGCGTCTTTTCGGCGATTAAAAGTGTCTAAAAAGAGTACCCTGCCGTACAGTAAAAAACCAGCGAAGTTTCACTAGTTGAGTGCCAAGGAAACACAATGTTGTGTAATCCAAGATGATTCCTAGCGCTACCGTTTCCAAGTCCAGATCTCAAGTGTCAACTCGCCTGGCATCTTCGGGTGCAAACTCCTGGCTATCAGCCGTCCCCTAGGCTCAAAGCGATGTCGTCTTCAAAGAGGGCAATGCACAGCATGATGCCCACCCCAGCCACCAGGCCCACATTCTGCAGAAGGAAGCGGGTCAGCGGTGCCACTGGCCCACATTCTCCGTGCAGCATTTCAGGCATCTGCAAAGAAGGTGCTTTTCATAACTGCACACAGTGGCTAGAAGACATCTTCGCAGGTTCAGATTGTTGCCCCCCCCACCCCCACCAGTAAACACTTCTGACCAAATGGGTCTGCCCAAATTGCGTTAGCATGTGCATGCTAAAGTTTCTCTTCCTGTATCCTGAGGGCGGTTTGATAAGGCATCTACAGGCCAGATTCACACCTCAGGGTCCTCATCCCTGCCGCTCTGCACCTACCATGTCAGTGAGGGCCACGTGCAGGAAGATGCCAGCCGTGACTGCTAGGATCCAGGGGGAGAGCTGGGCCAAGTGGTGGCCCAGGACGGTGCCCGCCACCAGGCCCAGGAACCCCAGTGCCGCTGACATCCCACTGAAGAGAAGCAGCCTCCGAATGGGCCAGCCGGCCGCCAGCAGAACCGCAAAGTCTCCTGAGGAGCAGGTGAAAGACCCACCACCGTTCAGACAAACCAAAGAGGTGCTTCAACTGAATAAAATAAGTGAAGTCATTCCACACAGAATGGAATTTGAAATTAAAGTGCAAGCAGACTGAGGATTAGCATGAATGAGGGGGCGTGCATAATAATGCAGCTAAGGTCCCCTGGGCTGCTGTAACTGTAAATGTTATATTATGTAAATGGGTCATTCCATATCAAATCATCCAGTGGGTTCCAGGTCACCCTCTCCGATTCCCATGAAAAGAAAACAATCATAAACTCACGGACAAATCCCAAATATTAGGTCCGTATTAGTGTTGTCAAAAGTATTGAAAGTACCAAAAAGTATGGATTGTATCGTGTATACAATGGTTTCAATACTCATTTTTCATAGTATCGAATCTACAGCCTCCAATTTCCGGTTCACTCTGATCACTGGCCTGGGCTACCAATGCACATTCCTCAGTGCAGTCTCACATACGGCGTGTCAGAGCTTTCACCACTGCGCTTAACCGATAAAGAGCGTAGCTGGGGTGGAGTCTGGGGATACTTTGGCCTTGTGCCAAATGAAGACAGTAAACCACCAGACGTCCGCAAGCCTGTATGCAAGCTGTGCCACTACCAACACTGACAAAGGGGGCAACCACCACAAATATAGGTAAACATTTATAGGGTCAACGTGATGCAGTACAAAGTTTCGAGAGATAGGTATCGTATTTCTGAATTAGTGGAATATTAATCTGTATGAGCCGGTTACAGTTGAAGAGGACATGCGAGTGATGTTTTTCTATGACTTAAAACTTTCTTTGTAGTGTTAAATATTTCCACATTAAGAGAAAGGTCTGCAGCTATTCTTACCTCTGGGTCATGTTGATCAGTGTTGATCCTTCAGATATAAACTTAGTTTGACAGAAAAACTAAATTGTTAGAAGTGTTGGTGCTTTGAAACAGATGAAGATGGCATGTAAAAGTAATGTATATATGTCCTGTTATGCATTGTAATAATACAGTAATAATAATATAAACATCTAATTTTTAATAGTGTGTATTTATGACTAGTGAATATCTCTGAATGTGATTACAATGGCTATTGCTGTACTTAATTTTATTATGCTTTGACAATGCAATGCAGGTTTTTTTTAGATACAGTGACATGTTTACAAAAGGTAAAATTTCTACTGCAAACAATATTGCAATTGAAATAAATTTCGAGTTACATTGTATGCTATGTTGAGTATCAAAAAATGGTATCATGACAAAACTAGTCTCTCTAACAGTACTGAAACTACAGGAAAGAACTGAGTGTTGCACACTATTTTAAGTGACAAGCTGTCAAAGTGGGAGTTGTTTTAATTTTTTGGCCATTTACCGAAACTTGTAGGAGGAACAATACATAATGTATAGCTGACCTAATTATATTTTTAAATTATACAAAGTTAGCCCTATTCACAAAGTTTCAGAGCTGCACATGTCGAAGGAGCTATGAATGTTCAGAATTCGGACCGAAACGTTGGCAAAATCCATAAAGTTAAAAAAAATTTGAAAAGGCTGTAGTTTCAGAACTATTACTTTCAGATTCGCTTATTTTTCAGGAGAATCTGAGAGGGTGACCTGGGAATTTTTTCTCAAACTGTGTGATTTGATATGGAGTGATTCATATGCTGTTTTCACTGAGAGCTTGTGTATGTTACCCCATCAGCGCTCTGTGGGGACTGTAAAACTGACAGAGACTCCAGCTGTAAACATCAGCCTGGATTCTCAGTGCCTGCCTCAGTGAGGCAGCTCGTGGCACAACACGGCCACAGAGAAACGCTCGAGGATGAGTTACCCAGCTCGTGAGGCAGCTCGTGGCAGAACACGGCCACAGAGAAACGCTCGAGGATGAGTTACCCAGCTCGTGAGGCAGCTCGTGGCAGAACACGGCCACAGTGGTGCTGAGGCCCCCAGCCAGACTCCGTGTGAAAGCCGCTCCTGGTAAGAGGACAGCATCACAATGGTTTTTACCCCATAATCTTCACAACGTGATACGTTGTGCTCAGAAAACATGGGAAAAGGGAGCATTATTCTGACTGGAAAAATAAAAATACTATTTATTGAAGAGGCACATAGTCCTGGAGGTTCTCCACCTAACTTCTCACTAATAAACTAACCTACCTGACTCAATGAGTAGCTAAAGTGGTTAACACAATGTACAACCTACACCTGCACAAGCAGGACTGAGCACCACAGACCTGCAGTCTGTACTGGACAAGGAACTGGATCAAACAGCCCTGATTTTACAAGTATCAAAAATTCATTCAGAAGTGAAGTGAAAAATAAATACATGTCGGAATCTCATTCCACCCACCAATAGCTAGTCCATCGGTAAAGTTGTGAATCCCATCCCCTGTGACCACCATCCACACCAGACTGGCCATCCCAGAATGCCTCGGGGCTGGGTGTTCGTGTCTGTTTTCAAAGTCAGCCTCATTTGAGCTTTCAGGGGGCCGGGATTCTTCCACGGAGCTCTTACCTGTCAGAGACGGATGAAAGGGACCAATAGAGAGTGCCGTGAGAAACGGCCTCCTCCAGAGGAGGAAACGGCCGCATAGGAGGCCAGGGCATGGGAGCCGCTCACTGCGCCGCTCACTGCAGCCAGGTCCTAATTCCCCAATTTAGAGGCTCACCCTGCAGTGGGACCAGCTCTCGTGCCCCTGTCACATTTTGGGCTGAACTATGCGGTTCCTTGTTTTCTTTCTAATTTGGGGAAAAAAAAGTAAAAAAAAAACAGAAGAAAAAGTTAATTTGCCGTTTAAATTACTACTGGTTCCTGCTTTAAAAGAAAATGAACAATTTATTCAATAATCAACATTAAAGGGAAAACAAGTAATGCTCTGACATATGCTGCCTCATTATCGACCATTGGCACTAGATTTCTGAATATTTATTCTATAGGAAAAAATTCACCCCATTCAAGCAATTTTTTAAGTGTGTAAAAAAGGGAAAAAAAAAAACTCTTTCATTTCTCCCACACGCAGTTCCCCATTTTACCTTATGGTGGCGGTGTAGCTCCATAATGCTCTCAACCAGGAAGAGCAGATAGAGCCCGGCCAACACGCACAGGCCCTTCAGTATTGAGTTCTGCATCCCGGAGTCAGAGTGAGACCCGGAGTTTGCCTGCACAGCAGAATGTCATGTTGCTGACAACAGAGCTTGTTTTTTAGGTGTTTTACTCTAAGATAAATGCAACCATTAAGTCAATGAACAACAACAATTCTAGGCAAATGTTACATTTTTTGTCACTAATAAATTCCAACCTGTAAACACTAATAAGGATAACTGAGTATCAGGGATGAAACGGTTCCACTGTAAACGGCAGTAGAATTCCCAACAGGTAGTATCGCCATTTGAAAATTTAATTATCATTAAGATCGTAATTGATTACCACACTTTGAAGAACTCACTGTAAATACCGCCCAACATCAGCCAGACGCAGGTGTGCAGATGGATGTTTTGCCTCAGTGAAAACATGGTGGAAGGCAGTGACAGCATTCCAGAATTTTTTATGTTAAATGTACATTTCATATGGTTTTCATATGTTTACATAAGGTATTACCTATGTTATTTTAATGCTTATGCAAATGAAAAATGCATAGTGCTGCTAATTTTATTTGTGGTTTACAATATAAAGCTTCAGTTATATTTCAGTTTGTGAATCAGTCCCTTTTGAACATCTGCAGCACATTTTAATAACGGCATGATTATAGTGATAACCATAATAATTTTGTTCACTATAATCATGATATTACATTTTCATTCCGTTTCATCTCTACTCTGCATGTGGTGGGAGGGTGTCAGAGGTCATTAGCAGATGACATCTGCCTGAGCCTGCCAATGTACCACTGCAGCATGACCTGAGGCTACTTACATGAGGAAGAAGGTGCAGCAGGGCATCCCCACACAGTGTGCCCACAGCCAAGGCCACCATCGGGCAAAGGAGGCTTTGGAGGAGGCCTGGGGTCAGCAGGGTCACCGTCCCCAGGGCCAGCAGGGACGGCAGACTAATCAGAGTTAGAGCCAGAGAGCCCCACCCCAGAGCTGAGGGAGAACCACAAGAGCAGAGAGATCAAGACCAGAATAATGAGTCTAGAAATCTATTAAGACAGAGGGGATCGATCATGTTTGTCCATGTGTATCTACCTATAAGGAAATGCATGCCACTCTGATCTTCTACAACATCCTCCTCTGTGTGCTGTAGACAGACCCCGCTGTCAATTTGGTACAGGAGAGCGGGGCACAGGAATGTAAAATGCGACGGGGTGATATGCGAGGCTTGTCCGAGGCCAAAATTCCACAGCAGCTGAGTGACATTCAAGCACTGAAACAACAAAGGCAGAGGAAGATGATAAGGTACAAGTGAATGCAAACATGCCGAAATTAATACAAGAGAAAACTCCTCACTAGCCGTGAGATTTTTTTGCTACCTCTGGGGTTTTAAAATTCAGGAAAAAATGTGTGGTGTTCTGAATAACATGTAAATAAAGACGAAATCACTTTGCTAACAAAAATATGCAATAAATAATGGGAATTTCCCACAAGAAACATGGTTGAAGTAAAAGTGGAGCAATCACATCATTTTAGAAAGGCCAGGTTTTTTAGGTTAAAGGTTAACTTGTAATTGTGATTTGGCAAAGGTATCAGTTATGGACTTTGTACATTTGGCATGCTGAAGACTCCCCAGTCTCCCATAGATACGCACATTTCCGTGAAGATGGTTTTTCGTGGGGTGATCTGGGGCAAAGTATGGGGTTTCAGACTGTGATCGTCCAGGGCTGGGAAGGACGACAGAGGACGGCCTAAAATGATCCTTCCTTTCATTTCCACTGTCCAAATGTTTTCCGCCAGTCAGGACATCGGAAGCAGCTCTGCCCTCCTCCTCCCACACAATCCCATCTGGGAAGCTACTTTCCGAGGACAGCAAAGTGATCAGCAGATGTGTTAGAATGGAAATCATTGCTTCAGGGCCGTTTAATTTAATTAACAACTAATACCACACACTGCTTCATCTGTATTAATGTAAATAAGGTCACACAATTTTGCTCAATAGTTCCAACAGCAGTTTTGATTCAAAGTGTCCCTGAACACTAACATATCTTCCTGGGATACATAATATCAATTAAGTGCCACATGAATGACTTTCTTCCCTGTTCAGAAAGATCTAGAACCAAGACACTATTTTGATCAAAACAGCTGAAGGAGTCCTTACATCATGAAAAAAATCTAATAATTAATTAATCCAAGAATACAGTGCACTATGCTGGCTCTTGTGCCAGAAGCCTAGTGTATCATCACCATGCGTCAGTTCTGTTCTGCTCATCATCATGACTGCATGTGAACTTGTGTTATAATGCAGTTGTCTGTAACGTTCCTCAGCTAATTCATGTTCTTGGCAAATGACCTGTTTTATAAACCACCTATATGTTATCTTGTGGTTATGAAAGACAAACTTCATTTAACAATCCAGGAAACTTTTTTTTTCCCCTCTAAATATCAATATCTTACTTGAGCAAAGTGCAGTATGCCTAGATATGCTCCAGTATGATTATGAGCCATTTTCAAATTCACCAGTTTGAAATACTGTTCCATTAAAATCGATGCTCCAGAACAGTATTTCCCAGACCGATCCTCAGGGGCCCCTAGACAGAACAGGTATTTTCTCCCTCTGATGTTTACAGCTGGAGTCTCTGTCAGTTTTACAGTCCCCACAGAGCGCTGATGGGGTAACATACACAAGCTCTCAGTGAAAACAGCATATGAATCACTCCATATCAAATCACACAGTTTGAGAGCAAAAACGTGGACTGTCTAGGGATCCCCGAGGACCGGGTTTGGAAACACCGATCTGGACAATTAAAAGGAGATTCTATTGGAAGTTTCTGGTTCTTACGATGGCCAGTTGCCCCTCTCACCTGTCCCTGTGCGATACTCTGCTGGAAGAGGCAGGTGGATGATGGAGGGAGTGGGCATACGAGGCGGCTGGGGGGGCATCCTTCACACCCTGATGCCTTATTTCCAGCACACTGACCTCCCCCAGGCCTAGGCTGCCCAGCAGCTTCTGGAGGCCCCTGTAGGAGAGGGTGCCGTTCTCGCCATACTGCAGGAACAGTCTCTGTAGGTAGTAGCCCTGGCCAGATAAGAGTGCAGCCAAAAGAAGGATGCTTGATGAAAGCGGACTAATATTCACCCACTTAACATTGCATTTTGATTATAGTAAAAAACTTACATTGAAAAAAGATACAGATGCTCCCCAGGTTATGATGGTCAATGTTACAATATTTCAGCTTTACGATGGGTAAATGTTTTTCATTTTCAGTACATTATTCAATAAATTAGATATTTAACATTTTATTATAAAATAGCCTTTGTGTTAATGATCTCACCCAACTGTAATCTAATGTAAGTGTTCTAAGCATGTTTACGGTAGCTAGGTTAGGCTGTGATGTTTGTTAGCTTAGGTGTACTGTATTAAAATGCATTTTCGCCTTACAATAGGTTTATCAGAATGTAACCGGATCGTAAGCCAGGGAGCGTCTGTATTTAAAGTGTAACTGCTTTGCATTTTGGGGTGCTTATGTGTTCTATATTATCCTGACTATTGTCCTGGAAAGCGTGGTAATGTTAGTAATGATCACAGAATACAAACCCAAACAACATTGTGTACCCTTAGGCAGATCTATTCTTCATGATAATATAATTCAGTTGGAAACAGCTAAGGAGGAACCTGTCTGCCAAACTCATGTTCATCCAACTCTCTAGCTGGCCACTATCCATACCTGCTCTTCAAAAGCTTCATCGAGGTATCCTGTTCCAGAGGCTTCTTCTTTGGTGTCATTAGAAACATAATCATATTCACGGCCGTGGTGTTTTTCTGTTGAAAGCACAGGCCCGCTCCATTCCATGTTCGAGGTAGAATTCACTTTGAAGCAGAAGATTTGTGTGTGTGGAACAACAGCCAGCCAGACACACATCCAGCATCTCAGCAAGAGCAACATTCTCCTTGGAAGAAATTACTATAAATTAAAGTCTTCTACACAAAAGCATAAACTTTTCAGAAAGCAGGTTGTGCACCACACTCTAAGAAAAACGGATAAAAACCTGTACCTTTGCTTGTCACTGGGGCTGTACCCTCAAGGGTCTGCCAATTTTACCCTTAGCTGTAGGTAATATACCATTTAAAGTATAGAAATGGAACACTGATGGTACATTAATGCTGTTTGTACCTTTGAGAAGTTCCTCAGAGTACAGCCTCAGTGACAAGCAAATTTAGGTACAAATTTTTACCCTTTTTTCTGAGAATGCAGGCTGCAGTATTACGACTCAGAGAATGCACTGGCTAAGGTGATTTGATGATGATGATGATGAATTTCCAAAAATAAGAACACATTGATCGGTATTATATTTAGTAGTATCGTATTTCGATACAATACAAACTTGAGAAAACGCACCTAAACATTGCTGCTTAAAATATAACTAGTTGACCCCTTACATTCACATGTAAGCTTTATGAAACGCGACACATTTTGATGTAGTTAACCTAACAAGCCTAATAATATTTTCAGTACCACAAAGTAGTTTACAATAACCATAACACTAAACGTCGCATAGAAAAATACACGTGTTCCACTAAATTGAAAGAAACAAGACAGACCAAGGAGATTTATGGAATACCATAAATATAACCTAAGCAGTACCTGATACCGAATACAGATTGTGCGGTAATTCCTCTTTGCACATTGCCGCAGAATTCAAGGACTCTGTTGTAACCTAGTTTAATTTAACCTGGTAATATTTTGCTACAAACACATGGATATGGCGGAACACCAGATTTCACTTAATTACATACAGAAATCAGGCACCACGTTTAATTTAATTTAATTCATTTCATGCATCTTTTGTCACTACGTCTGACACCCTTTAACTGGTTGCAGTTGCTTAAATGTGACAAAAGTGTACTACATCTTACCCGATGAGTAGATTTTTTTTCCGAGCTGTAAAAAGATTAATGGGTCGTACAGGTATGCTTTTAGACCTCCGTCTGTACGCGTGAGTAAAACCTGCTCCTATAGTTTAGTTAATATTTACACCGATCACTGGGCTAGCAAACATTTCCTCGCTGTTCCTTAAAACATTCAGTACCTTCCTGCCGAATAATTACCGCTGGGCTGCCTTCGCTGAAGTAATCAATTGGTATCACTCTTGCTTTGTATTTGTTGAGAAATTTTAAGTTCGACTGTTTAAACTGCTAGTAGCCTATATGCAAATAGATAAAACCTAAGACTGATGGGTCAGAATAATTTTACGCACAACAATCTAAAATAAAACTGAAAATCATACAGAAGTATAAAATAAATATTTCTAAAAATGCTGTAAAAATAAAGTAACATCGTATTTGGATTTAATGATGCGACGTTACATGCCTTTTTAAAGAATAACCTACTTCCGTAACTCCATGTTTGCCTGCAAGGCAGGTAAGTGTTTAGTAGCAGACTGGACTTAAGGCAAAGATAGGAGACGTAAGTGCTGGATATACATCCTGCGTGTTTTTTTGCAAAGATATGATATGGATAGCTATCCTGAAATTAAGCCTTTACATTTAACAGAATTATGCTCGTGAACTTAGTTCTGACATGGATAATTTAGTGTTTTTATTCCATATATAAATATGTGAATATCATGATAAAAAAAAATGAAATAATGACCCTTAGTTCATGTTTGTTTCTGCAACCTGGACCATCACTTCTACCAAGAGGGAGAAGTAACTACACACTTCAACAGTTTACTCAAGAGGTGTGTTGTGGTGCAAAACAGGTTATTGTGTGTCTCTCTGCTTCTGCAATCCTACAGCAGACGTTTGGAGTTTGGATCTTGTCTCCTTTGACTGTGGCTATGTACCTCACCCCTTGATTGGTAGTTCTTTTACTGGGCCTTTGGTCTGCAGTGCTCACCCCTTCCCTTTTGTAGTTTTTCCAACAATAAAGGGAAAAAAGCAGCACAGGAAAAAGTCAAAAGGTCACATGGCACTTTGGCCTCTCTGTGTCATCATATCTATGCTGATAACTTGCATTTCCATCATGTGACTGACACAAAGACCAGTGCCCAAGTGTAAAACTGATTACTGCTAAAGAGTAGCGTTTGCCTAAATCTTTCCCCCTCCGAATGGAGAGGTCCTGCTAGTTCTTTTACTTTGGAAAAGACCATAAAAGTCAGTAGACATGATAGCTCAAGAGCTGCTAATCTCTTTAAATCAGTGGTATTCAAACTTTTTTTACAGGGTCCCCCTACCATCAAATAATACGTACAGGCAAATAATGTGTTCACATTATTTTTAATATGCCTGAAGGTTGCAATTTCAAAATAAATGCAACACCAGCTCAACCCACCCCCCCCCCTTTATCCCTCATCTACCCCACCAGAGGGCAATGCTCCAAAGTTTTAATAACTTTACTCTAAATCATCTTATTCTGTGAACCCACACAGCGTTTGAATCATGTCGAAATCATTAAAAACCCGCTCCTAAGACCATAAATTATTAGGTATGCCTTCAGTTATAATATATGCCTCAATGAAAATATTTTATAATATTCAGAATGGTTTGGTGGCCTGATGTTGCATTAGGTAAGACTAAGGATTTGTCAGCTGGGATACTAATGAGATTGTTTTTCAGAATCTCTTTCTTATTTGCAAAACTGGGAAGAACAGCACAAGAGTAGCCATACTCAATCTTCTCCTTCATCCAGACCAATTTGAATGCATTATGCAGTTAGTCTTGTGGTACATTAACTGCTAGGGTTTTAATATTGCTGCTATTATTCTTATGTGAAAAATATAACCCTTCACTCCACTGTAGAAAAAAAAAATCACTTGAATAAAGGGAATTTCTGTTTAATTATTTAATATATTATTAAAAGAAATCGAAGATTACAGAATCTGAAATCTCGTGCCACTTTGTCACTGCCGCCTAGAATCGATTCGCACCTGAGCTGTACCGCAAACTGACGTTTTTCCATTGTAAAGAATGCCAGCTGAACCCTTGCTGACATGGCCCTGCTTACTAGCAGGACCGAAAGCGAGACCAAACCAAACTGGCTGTGTCCCTACCATCTGATTGGTTAAAATGCAGGTAGATACTGGTCATCTGTGTCGTTATGTATGGATTATCTAAAGGAAAAAAGGGTATGTTCTATATATTATTGATTATTAGTAGTATGTCTCAGTGTGCTGTATTGGGGATAGCTTGTGGCTCAGCGGGATAAGGCTTTGTGCCTGTGATCTGTAGGTTGCTGGTTCCTGGCTTTGCCATGTCTGTGGGTTCTGGAGTAAGGCCCATAACCCCCAGCTTCCTGGGTGCCATAACAGGTGGCCGCCCTTCGCGGGCAGCTTTCTCTTTCCTGCACAGAGCAAGTCGGGGTGGGGGCATAAAGAGATTTCCCCCATGGGGACCAATAAAGTATCAGTTATTGTCTGATGCATTTGCAGCAACTCGGACCATGAAATTTTTCAACAACCTATTTAATGGAATGGATTCGTAATGCAAATTTACACAAGCGAAGCTAATTCTATTAGCATTTGATGCTAACATGAGACGAGGATTCTCATAGACTTGCTAGCTGGAATTAGCACATAGTAAATCATGATGTACACAGTGTGAACCATAAATAAGCATCTCTTCGGTTTTACATAACTGTCGCTCTCCAAATCTGGCAACACTTTTACCAAGCCGTATGTGAGGCTCTGGAGGAGCTAATGCCCTAAGGCCAGTAGATTATGAAATACCTCTATGAAAGTTATAACGTAACACTTGCACTTTACACATATACCACACACTATATTTAAGTAATGCTGCGCATCTTTTTTTCCTTTCCTTTTCAGTATCATTTTCTGTTCCTTATTGTATTCCCTGGATGGGGAATACATATGGTTTTGCGCCACTAATAACCATTACTTGTTAGAGTGATAACTCAGAATGTACTTGATGGATCTGTTTCATATTCTGCAGATTGTCTGGGTGATGGAACTGATTGAATTTTGAGACAGAAAGCATCAAAACAGAAGCAGCACAGCATAGTGATAGCAAACAAAAAGGCAGTTTTTACACGTGATATTGTTAAATGGGATAACTCAAAAAGTATTTGGCAGATCATTTTCAAACTTCGCGGACATGTTGTAAGCGTGAAGAACTCAAATTTTTAATTTTTTTAAGACAAATCACTCTGAAATTGAGGCAGCGCCACTTAGTGGTAGTAAAGGGAAGTGACTTTAAACAACATTTGACTTTGTCAGTGTGATAAGTCAAAATGTATTTGATGGATCTTATTACTATTTGACAAAACATTATATGAATGGAGATCTACACATGGTCTTATTTTGATACAAATGGCCCCATAACATAAGTAGCATCACTATGTGGCAGCAAAGAAAGGAAAGGGAGGTTATAGAACACAAGACACTTGGTCTTGTAAATGCATTAACCATTAACTATATCACACGAAAATTAAAGCAGTACTACAAATAGATATTAAAGAGAAGGGCAGCTTCAGACTCCTGGTCTTGTTAGCATGATGGGCGTGGGAGGAGTAGGGATTACATGGAGGGAGGGGTAGTGGGAAGGTCCAGGGAATACACTGTTGTTGTGCCGACAGACATCTAGTTTATTATGCATTTATTATATTGTTGTTTTTTATCATTCATTTTTTGATATTACTGTTTTTATTAGGGCAGAATTGATTACCTTTCATTTCTTTGCAGATTGACTGTATACCTATATGTGAATAAAAAAATCATTGAATCCTGGAATCTTCTTGGGGTGGCATAGACCGTCACTGCATAGCTTCACTGCATTTTCTTCCCCTATTGCACAGGTTTCCACTAGGAATTCCATTTTCCTGCCTCAGTCCAAAGTGCAGTTAGGTCAATTGTCTATAGTGTAAATGACCTATTATGTGTGCCCTTTATGACGACCTGTTCTGGGTAATCCCCTGTCATTTCCTCTATGCTGCCTGGAATAGGCTCCGGCTCAGTGGTTTGAAGATAGATGAATAAATAACTTTTAAAGCATAATGACCTCTTCCATGGGTTGGCACCGTATCCTGGGCTATTCCCTGCCTTGCGCCTGTAGCTTCCGGGATAGGCTCTGAACCCCCCACAACTCTGCACAAGACAAGTGTAATGGATGATAACCTCATGGAGCTATACATTTAGCTCATTCTGTAAACAAAAATATTATTTTACATCTAAACAAAGAAAGTGTAAATTTGTGTGAGTGTATACACACACATATATATATATATATGAATTATTGAAGAATAGGTACAATGAAACTGGAAACATGTAGATATGCAGCCCAGGGTGTTACATCCTGCCCATCATGTCCAGCTGACCCTTCTGTCTCCTCCCTGATGTGGCCCGGATCAGCCACGCCTGTTACTCGTTGCTCATCAGTCTTTCTGTTAAAATGCCTGTTTGTCTCGTCAGCCTCAGTTTGATTATTGATGTCTACCTTCCCGTTGACTGTGTCCATCCCAGTGCTTCTCTTCCCATTTGTAGTCTTGGTTTGTTTCCCTGCTCCTGTTTGATTTTCATCCCTTTTCAGTTCTCATTATGCCTGCCCTCAAGTCCTTCACTTGCGCATCGTGACAATGACCAGATTCCTCCAGAACTTCCAGTGGCTTACCCCTCCGCCGCAGTTATCAAGTGGCTCTCAATCCCGCAGACCACATGCCCTGCATCCCTAGCATCCTTGCGGAGGACCCTCACTCTACCAACGAGCGTTATGGACCCTGAAGCACATCTGCTTGCTGCCTCTCCGCAGCGTGAAACTCCTGCTCACCTCCAGGTGCCCCAGTTGTGTCCTACCCACCCAGTGGTTCCTTGGCTCTGTTTGTGCCTGTGGCATAAGACAGAGACACAGGAGACGGGCTAACTGAATCAGGTGGTGACACAAGGCCAGAACCGGCCACCCAGGCTCCCATCCACCTGACGTTGCCTTTCCGGTTCGCTCTCCGGGGACAGAATCAGCAGCACACTCCTCCTCCAGCCCCAGGACGAATCAGACAAAATGCATTTATAAATCAGAATTCAAACAATTAGGTGAGATTGATCTGTTGTGAGTTTGTAATGTAACCAATCAGATGTTATGTTATAATAATGGTTTATTAAATAATAATGGTTGCTGTTATCATTTAAATTGTCATTTAAACAATCAATTAAATAGCAATTAAAATCATTGCTTAAATAATCATATAAATGACATATCAATAGGCATTTAAATGACACTTTAAATTACAATTAATCATACAATTAAGTCGTCTTTTGTTTTCGTTGCATCACATGGCAATGTCTGCTAACAAAATTGGAAGGTGTTTCAATACCAGCCCCTCAAAGGTCTTCGTGATATATGAAGTGAAAGAAACTGGTCTTGTTTTGCACTATATGTTTATTTGTGTGCAGTTTATGTGCCTTGCTGCTGTACGCATAACAATTTCACCCTGGATTGAATGAAGTAATATTTGTACTGCATGCTGGGTGAACGAGGTGGTCTACAAGTGTATTGTAATTAGAATAAAAATCAAATGGAAAAACTGAAGCTAGAAATCCAAGCAAGGTACAACATATTGTAAATTTACTTTGTGTGCCAATAGAATGTTAATTTACTTTAACACACACTACGATGATCGCGCCTGCTCCCGTCCACAAAGCATATTCCCTCCAAGTCAGCTTCCTCGCATTCCTAATTCAGTCTGAGCCAATGACACTCACCAATAGAAGCAACAGATAAAACACTTTCATTGTGATTGGCGTAATTACTCTGTCAATCATATGTTCTCAAACCCGACTGGTGAAACCAACTGTCAATCATTTGCTGTGGGCAGCGCAGCAACTTCGTATTTGTCGTGGCGTAGATCGCAAGGCGGAGGATGGGTTTTAACGTGTGACAGGAACTGGAAGGCGTACAGGCGACCTCCTAGCTGGCTCCCTCGGTTAGGGGAATTGGCTAGTTTCAGCTGAGACAGCAAGCTGCGTGTGGAGGTTACTCGTAAATTCAGGTATATACTAACTCAGGTTTACATTCCGTTGATGTGAAAATGTTTTTCTGTGTGAAGAATGAGCTGCTGTTGGATATCGCACGTAGATAGCTAGCCGCCTGTGGTGTGCTGCTGTGTGGTAAGAGTACAGTAGGGTAGCTTGCTGGGGTGGGTTAGCAGACATTTGGAGACTCTCTGGACGTTCGACAGGAGTTGGGCCGTTGTTTTCGTTTGGTAGTGATTTGTCAAAAATTAAATACAGTCTCATTTGCAGTCCAGTGGCTGTTTTGGTAGCAGCCTCTTTAGCTTCCGAGCGGCAGTATTTAGCTAGTAATAGAGAGAGCGTCCATAGCTTCCAGTTAGCATAGTTAGCACAACTGTCCACCAGCGTTTTATCCACATATTCGCCAATAAATATATCATAGCGTGACAGAGTCATATGTCTGTACCTACGTAAAGAACACTCTGAATTAAGTTATCTAGTGTATTAAGTCTAATGTCTAGTGTGTTTTAGGTCCAGTTGCTAAGAAGCTAACAGGCGTAGTTATAAAGTCAGGCGACGCTATACAATAACGAGCCGGCTAGGCTATGAGTGATCATTACAGGTATTACCTGTGTGGTTCGAATTTACAAAATTCTCAGTTTAAAAATGGTAGCTTGGCTTTCTAGAAAAGACTGGAGAATACAATTTCTCTTAAACTGTTTTGTGCTGAATGAGGGGAATTGGTCATGGTTTTTTTTTTTTGGCTGTAACAATTAGCAGACATGCCCTTTGGATTGCGAAGGGAAAGAAACTTGAACTCAAGTTCAACCCCCAAGTTCAGCATAATTTTGGGACATTATTAACTGCATATGTTTTGATAGGTAGTATGTGTACATTGATTCCTATTTGTTGAATATTTGTAGCCAGTAAGTTCAAGTGTCTGTCAGCCAACTCCTTCAAGGGCTTATGCATGCCAAAATAAACCTTATCTTTATTCTGGGTAACAACATGATTCTTTGGAAAAGACAAACATTTCTTAGCTCAGAACACATTCCAGAAATGAAGTCTTGGGTTGGAGGGCCTACATTGAAATGATAAACACGGTGCTTTTTTTTGTATTACTGCTTTTAGTGGCAGAGTGGGAAAACTGCTTTAACCCTGTAGTTGCTTAAGTGTGTCTTTCTGCATTGCATCCCAGTTTGGTCACTCAGACTGATTGGTCTGACCAAGGTCACTCAGACAGGAAATATCACAAACTGCAGTTATTTGTTGAATATGTCATGTTTTAGGTGGCGTCACAGTTGGCACTGTTGCCTTATGTCTTTAGGACCCAAGTCCATGGCTCCATATGTGTGAAGTCTGCATGTTCTCCTCTTGTCATCATGGGGTTTCCTCCAGGTGTTCCAGTTTTCCCCCACAGTTCAAAAACATGCCAAGGTGTGACTGTGAGTGAATGGTGGGCGTGTTCGTGTGCCCTGCGATGGGTTGGCCCAGTGTAAGAAATTTGAAAAATATTTTGGGGACAACTATTGCCCTCACTGTCTTAAAAAATGGAGCATTTACAAAGACTTGGGGGTACTATTGAAATTAGTAATTCACGCATAAAGTTTGTGTTTAATATGAAATGTGCCCAGATTAAAATGCAAACTACCTTATGCTAACATGAGTAAATGAAAAGCATCCTACAGCTGTTCCAAAGAGAAGTGTGTAATCATCTGTATGTGTGAGAGAAAGCAGGGGACAGTTCTAACTATTTATGCTTTTATTTGGCTCTTGAAAGCCTTATTATATGTATAATGCATTAGTTTATAGATCAAGTGAAAATTTCATCACTGTCTTTCAAATGAACTAGTTTACAGTCTTTTTTTAAACATCCCCTTTATAAACTGTTGAAGGTCCATTTAAAATATTTGGAAAAATAAAAGGCAGTGTTTAACAACTGTAAATGTAAACCGATCCCTTCAACAAAATAAAACAAATATTGCATATTGTGATATTTAACCTATGAGCTGTTCTGCAATGACTTAAAATTAAAGGAAGCAAGTAACAATTTTTCGTTGCCTCCATCAGCTACCCCGAGAAACAAGTGAATGGGGGTGAGTTTCCCAAAGCCGCCTTAATGCTACATCGTTTGTAACTTCTGTCTTTTAACGTAGAACTTACGAACGATGTAGCATTAAGAAGACTTTGGGAAACTCACCCCGGTTTGATTTTTTAGCTGCAAATTCAGGGAGTTTGTGCAACACCATGACTGAAGCTGCTTGTTTACGTCCAGGAAGGAATACTATGGTTTTAACACACAATAAAAGGTATATTGATATAAACGGTATTGTTATCCTATATCTCATTTTGAAAATACAGTGGTACCTCGGTTCCCGAACTCACTAGAACTCGAATTTCTTGAAAGTCGAACAAACCAGTTTGACCTAGAACTCGATCTGAATATCAGAAGTCGAACCGTGAACGCTGACCTAATATAAATTGTACGCGCCAGGAATTAGTCATAGTACAATGCAATTCTTACTTGAATGCCTTCTTCACAGACTGGACGATTAACCAAATAAAGCAGCACAATATTACAGTAACAATAAATAAACCACTAACTTGCGTGTACTATTAGAGTATTTATGTCATTTATTTAAACTTTATTTTACCAGGTAAATTAACTGAAAACCAGTTCTCACTGCTTTACGTGATATTCGAGAGAAATAGCAGATTACGCATCAGAACTGCCTAGGATACAAATGTCATGCGTGTAACTAAACTCTTCAGCCAATAAGGGCAAAGATGTGTTGTCACGGAGGCGGTTCCAGTTTGTGCAGCCGGGTGAGAGGTCGCAATGCATCTAACCGTAATGCATTGCGTAAGGATCAGAATGCGTTGCTTTAAGCCAGCGCTGTAAGCAAGTCGAACGCACCCAATGACCAGACTGGGGAAACAAACTGAAACGCGGACTTAATACAGAGGACTAATGACAACAACCAGAAACAGCTGATCACATGGGGATCCCACATGAGGTTAACGAGGGGGCGTAGCACACGGAAGGAGCGGACAATCGGGGCAGGACAGGGGTAATGTTGGGATAAGATCTTTATCGTTTATTTGGAAGAAAAAAATGCTCTCCTTGTTTTGTCCTGTTCATTTTGTGTTTAAATGCTAAAAAAAAAAAAACATATATAGCTGTAATTTTGGGGGGCCGGGAACCAATTAATTGGTTTTCCATTATTTCTTATGGGAAAAATTCGATCACAACTCGAACTTTCTAGGATTCCATCCGGAGTCTGGAACGGATGAAGTTCGAGGTACCACTGTATATCAATATTAGGGCTGCCACTAACGACTATTTTTCTATGGATTAATCTATTGAGACTTTTACGGATCGGTCGAGTAATCTAAATGAATTCGGTAAGCAAAACATGCCACATGTGACTGTTGTGGTAAATTATGGAAGCAATAAGCACTGAAGTCAAAAAATGGAAATCAAGTGAAATTAATAAAAGATGGCTTAAGGTAACTACATTTTTATTTATTTTTTGAAAACTTGGGGGCAGTTTTGCCCCCACAGTTATGGTTTTTAGGGGCATTTTGAGATTTCTTGAGACATTTTTGCCCTTTGCTCCTTTTAATTTCCAACATGCCCCGTCCTGAGTTATTCCTTTCCTTGCACCTGTACCTTCCAGGATAGGCTCCGTATCCCAGCGAACATGCATAGGTCAAGCAGGTATAGCAAATGGATGGCGGCATGTTTTCCATGGCGGCAGGACAGTCAGGTTGTTTTAATAGATTTAAAAGTCAGAAGTGTTAGCTAGAGCTGCACGGTATCTCGTCACAGTTATATGCCGCATGCGCAATAATCATCAGGCCGTCAGATGACTGATGTAAGACATTTGTCCGAATGCCGGCTTTTTGGTATTGTACGAACATTTAATTACAGAGGTGGAGATTTCAGGTCCAGATAGTACAAATCCAGACCGGGATTTTGTTAGAGGCGACGAGTTGAGTACTCTGTGACACTTTATACTGGTTGGTTGAAACAAAATCATGGTCTGGATTTGTACTCTCTGGACCTGAAATCTTCACCTCTGTTTAATTACGCCTAAAATTTGGTAAGATTAATAGTGTGCGCAAAACATTAATGAAAGGCATATTGTGACACCCCTAACATGGTAATCTGTATAAATTTGGGGTGTTTTTTTTTTTTTTTTTTTTTTTTTTTAAAAACCTTGTTTATCCACAATATCTCCTCTTTCAACAGATGATGTGGTTGCTGAGCTGCTTATCTTCAATGCTGATCTCCTCCATGATATACCAAAACACTAGTATGTGGCAAGCTCCGCTAACCAAATTTAATAAGCATAAAGAAATGCTAAACTTGTACAGCTTGCTAACTTATGGGCATATGCCTCTCATTAATGTGGGCAGTGGTGGCTTGATGATTAAGGAAGCGCACTTGTAATTGAAAGATTGCTGGTTCGAATCCCCGACCAGCAAGGCACCACTGAGGTACCCTGAACAAGGTACCACCCCCAAGCACTGCTCCCCGGGCGCTGAATTAGCTGCCCCCTGCTATGTCACGAAAGTCACATATGGGTTAAATGCAGAGGACACATTTCTTTGTTGCGCACTGTGTGCTGTGGTGTGTTGATAATGACCACTGATCACCTAATTCTAATATTTTAGGTGTCCTGCTAATCTGCTTACCAAATTGTGGGTGTCAGTGAATGTCCGTATAGTACTGAAAAGCTGGCATCCATACAAATGCTTACACCAGCCCTAGTGATTACTGTGATTACCATTTAATTGTGGTGATTGAATGTGATATAATGCACCCAAGTTCGACTATATGGGGTGGGTGATTTTGAGACGTAGGACACAAGTATCAGAGATAGATGAAGCACTGGGGTTGCTGAGGTTTCTTCATGTCAGCCACATGTTCTCATAGGTGAGTGTGTTTCTGTGTATGTTTGTGTGTGTTGATGGTTGTCAGGGACCCTAGATTTGCATGACAAATCCATTCCATTCAGCTGTTCTATAGTACTCTTTTAAATGGGAGCTTGGAAGTTAAGTTCCAAGTTATCAGAATGCGTAAATACATCGCGATGTACGATACATCAAGTAAGGAATAATATATATATAGAATATGCCCTTTTTTCCTTCAGATAATCCATACATATTGATGCAGAACACCAAAATCTCCCTGCATTTCGATCAGTCAGATGATGGTAATGCAACCAGCTTGATTTAGTCACATTTTCAGCTCTCCTAGTAAGCAGGGCCATGTCAGCGTGGTTACGGCTCAGGTACGGCTTGCATAATTTACAATGGAAAACCGTCAGTTTGTGGTACGAGTCAGGTTCAGCTTGGTTCTTGGTGGCAGTGAAAAAGTGCCGTAATGCAACTTGCAGAAGTAACACTGTGGAGTCTCGGGAAATGGTTATTAAGAAGTGGTCTTCTTTAAAAAAAATTTTTATAACTAGGCTACTATGTTTTATTCCAACCTTTACAAATGTTTGTAAATAATTATTGTTAACAAAATGAAACAAAGGTATTTTTTAAATTTAACAAAAGGAATGGGAGGAAACGTTGCATTTTTGGTAATAAAATTTTCTTTTAAGTTTTTTTTTTTTTTTTTTTTTTTTTTTTTTTTTTTTCCTCCCTCCAAAAAATATCATGGGAAAATGAATCATGAGCCTAATATCACGAATCGAACCAAATCGTGAATTGGGCAAATCGTTACATGCCTGGTTTCCAAAGGTTCTTTCATGCCAAAGGGAGGGAAGGTGTGGAGTACTCTTAGTTTCAGTAGCCTGCTTTCAGTTGATCTGATTTCTGCAGCCCATGTGATGAATAAAGCCTAAAAATGGTGCTCTAAATTCCCTCGCCTATACCAGTGCTTCCAAGCTGGACAAGCCCAGGCCTGATACAGTGGGGCTTTTCTTTAAAAATAAATTTTGTCTCGGCATTCTTTTCAGAGCTCGTACATGTTCTTAATTTGCATAAGGTAGTGGGCAGGCACATATCAGTGCTCTGCTGTTCCATCTGCTGTGTTCTGGCAGCAGTGAGAAGGTGTGACTTGGGAAGTGCATGATACGAACAAAATCCCAAGGAAACTAGCCTGGAGTCATACCCTGAATGATGGTGTTTTTGCGGGATGTCACTGTTGTCATTGTGGATAGAAATTCCAGTCTGGGGTGATGAATACTAACCAGGCAATATCAGTTACTTCATTAATTAATTACCACACTTACTGAGGGGGGAGGGCAGTGTGGGGTGAGCATGACAGATTGGGATTGGACATTGGCAAGTGCTTAGAAAACACTGTAGCGCTTCTCTACCCTTCTTGACTTGTAAGTTGCTTGAGCACACGAGGAAACTGCAAACATCTGAGGCTTTGGTCAACACTGTTTTGTCAGTTTTTAAAGATTTAATCTAGCAGTTGTTCCATGTGTCTCTGAGTTGCTCACCATTTTAAGCTATTGTTTCTTGCCAGGCTTTGTCAGCACCCAAAAGCACATAACCAGTAGCATTTGTGTTTACCTTATCTAATCATTTGTTTGTTCCTACTGTCTGATTCCCAGCCAGAAGAGCTGGTCCATGTGATGTTCAGGAAAGACAGGAGAATTTGGCACAATAAAGAATCTGGAGCCATGTGTGACTGAGGTAAAGTTTAATTTTTCCCAAAGAACAAAGTTTCACATGATTCTTTATTATCCTATAATAAAGTGCATGCTTCATGTATACTTACTGATTTAGCTAACTGTCGTTTTCTAAGTTCAACTTATACAGCCTGAAGAGCTCCTTATTTTTAGCTTTTCTTTTCCAGGTTGTTGTGCATGGATGCTTGAAAATGTTTTCTTGCAGGCTAGGGCTAGGGGTTACGGCAAAGCATTTTATCATTTTTTTTTTTTTTAATTTCATATGAGTTAGTCGATAATTATCACAATATAATTCACTTCATAATATAATTTACTTCAGCGCTCACTTTTTTTTTTCTTAAAATTCCCTTAGGATTCCTCCCAAGCAGAATCAGAGCGTAAAAAATTGCCACAAATGAATGGGCCACAAGCTGAAATCTCATTTTAATATATTTATATATATTTCAGGTGTAATAATATACAACTGCAAATGTGTGGTTTGTTGCTGAGATTTTTCTCTGCTTGTCTCATAGTATTTCCAGTTTTAGTTGCACAAGTTCTCAGCAGAGTTTACGATTCACATCACCAGTCTGTTGTGTGTCAGACTTTAAATAGCCAAAGTGCCATCGCACCGCCAACGTATTTTTACCTTGTTTATCCACATTATCTCCTTCTTTAAAAATGTTGCCATGCTGTGCTGTCGCTTTCTCCACCAACATTTAAAGTTTCCTCTGAGCGAATGCTCATCTCTCCCATGACTCGCGGCATCATGTGCGGTGTTCCACTAACTCAGCCAACCTTTCTATGTGTTTGTTGGCAATTCCTAAAAGACTACCACGTGATTGGTTGGAATTGCATTCATTTTTGGCAAATGATAGGCTGATGTGTGCTGTCTATTAAAGTTGATAATTTTCTTATAGTTTTTATATTTTATATCACGATAAATGTATGTTGTTTATAGGGATGTTTTTTCAGTTCCTATTTCATTTCAATGTGCAACCACCGATACAGATACAGATTCTGAAACAAAAACTCTTTTTACTTGAATATTTTAATATAATAAAAATATAATATAAATATTTATATTATAATTTTTTTAAACTAGTAAATCCAAATGAAGAAAATGTGTGCCAAAAAATCTAATCTAATTAGGCTACTAGAAACATGCATAACATTCTGTATACACCTTGGGCCAAAACACAAGGTTTAAATAAAAATGCAAATGCTTTATTTAAAAAACATCGAGGTTTTTTTTTTTTTTTTTTAATCCAGTTGTAATAAAACCTTTCTGCAGTAGTGGATCTCTCTTTAAAGCGATATAGTGATATAGAAACAGAGATCTACTATCTTGCTAAAGATTGTTCTTTATACCATGGTATATAGTATTTTCAGCAGCAATGCTATCCTGGTATTTTGAAATTTGAGCGATTAAAAATTTATTGGGGGGGGGGGGGGGGGCGTGTGGTCCATAGCTGTCAAGTCTCCCGTTTTGGCCGGGAAACTACCGTATTTTACTCTTTCCCGCCGTCCTCCCGTATTAGTATTTTCCCGTAAATCTCCTGTATTATAAGATCAT